AATCCTGGTCTCTTTTGACTGGCAGCAAGTATAAGTGTGCTAATATGTCATTCTTTCTGGTAACATTTTCACTGTATAAGACCATTTATAGACCTTTATAGACCTAGCCTTGTTGTTGTTCAGTTGTTTTTCAGCCATGTCTGACTCTTCATGACTCCCTTTGGGGTTTTCTTGGCAAAGACACTGGAGTAGTTCGCCCTTTCCTTCTCCAGCTCATTTTTACAGATGAGGAAACTGAGGCCAAAAGTGTTGAGTGACTTGCCCAGGGTCATGCAGCTAGTAAGCATGTGAGGCTGAATTTGAACCCAGGTCTTCCTGACTCCAGACCCAGTACCCTACCCACTGCACCACCTAGCTGCTCCTTCTCCAGTGTAGTGATCCTAATTTTGAGAAGTTGAAATCCTGCAGTAAAAGGGTTGGGATGATTCTTGTAGGGCAGATATGGAATCATGCACAAAGGTGGCTCCTTCTTGCCATGTGTGTGCTCAATCTGGTTAGCTCTAGTTATAATGATGAGGAGTAGAACCTGAACTTGGGCAGGATCATAGGGCTAGAAGAGACCTTAGAAGTGACCTAATCTAATGCCTTTTTTTTCAGATAAATCAACTGAGACCCAGAGAGATACTCACCTATGTTCAGAAAGGTAGTATACACCAGAGCCAGGATCTGACCTCGAGCTTTCTGACTTCAAATTCATTGCTGCTTCCACTATATTTATATCATGCTACTTCCTATTTAAAATGTTTTTATCCAGTATTGTTTATTGGAGTAAATATCCATATAAAATTGCACATTTGTAAGTCTAACCTACTCAAGTTAATCATTTATAGGCTTAAAAAATTGAACTTAGTTCTTCAAATAGCCTAGGAGTGAAAAAAAATGAGCAAGTCTGGTCTTCAAACACTTATATCTAACACAAATTTGAGAAAGCTCAATAATTATTCCTCTATAGTAGAGAATTTAATTTTCTTTGACTTATTCATTGACAATAAAGAAAGATTTATAGGGAGTTTCAAATACTATGTATGACAGATGATTCTAAGAATGCCCTTTGTCCCCCCATGCATTTGCTAGTGAATCAAAAACTCAATTAATTCTGTCAGAAATTAATGCTATACCCCAGTTAGATTTGCCATAGAACACATAGTTCTTTGGGACCATAAAGGAAGAACTGTTTTTAGAAGAGCTTATTTAAGGTGTGTCAACAAAATATTTTGGCAGGTGCAAGGGAAGATGTTCAGAGTTTTTCTGTTCATGCTTAGCAAAATCTAGCCCAGCTCCCTTATTTTACAAATAAGGAAAATGAGCCTCAATGATGTGAAAGGATTTTCTCAAGATCAACTAGCTAGTTAAGGAGAAGCCAGATGTTGTGATGACCAATTTGAAACTCTTCCTACTACAAAAAACACTGCACCTGGGGATGTTGTTCAGCTTCCTTGCTTGCCTTATAATTTCTGAACACCTAAAACATCATAAGTAAATACATCTTACCTTTTAGAGCATATCAGATGTACATTGTGGTAAACTACAGTCTGCACAAAGCACTGGCCCAGAAAGCAACCCAACATCATCCACTTAATGGCAATCCAATAATTTAGCATTGCTATGGTCAATAGTTTTTATATTCTCTTCTTTTCTCTTCCCACAAAGGAGGGAGTGGAAGCTGGGAAATCAGAGCTCTTTAGGCAATGGAGTGTTCCTCAGAAGCATTATTTAAATGAATATTTTTAAATGGTGCTTAAAGACAGCAAAAAAAAAATAGAGGTAATTAGGGAAACATCCCTATGCCACCTAGAGATTGGAATTAAATATAAAATTGTCCCAGTGAGAAAGCAAAGGACTAATATAATCAATATACTTAGAATTAGATGAGAAAGTTAATTGGAAAAAAAATCTCCATAGTGCATTTCTCTGAGGAAGGTCTAATATTCAAGATATAAAAGGAACTGATGCAAATATATAAGACTAACAACCATTCCCCCAGGGTATGAGGAGTCAAAGGACATGAACAGGAAGTTTTCAAATGAAGAAAGGTGAGCTATCAACAATAATATGGAAAAAGACTCCAAATCATTAATAATAAGGAAATGAAAATTAAAACAATTCTGAAATTCTCTCTCATATACATCAGATTGATGATGAAAGAAATATATGGCAATTGTCGAAGGGGCTATAGGGAGACAGATATACTGAAGAAGCTATGACCAATCATTCTGGAGAGTAAGCTGAACTAAATCTTGAAAGTCTATAAATTGTCTACCTTTTGATCCAGTGATAGTACTGCTAGGCACATACTCCAAAGAGGCCAAAGACTCATATGTAGAAAAATGGTTATAGCAGCCCTTTGTGTCGTAGCAAAGAAATGGAAATAAAGTAGGTGCAGAATGAATGACTAGACAAATGGTGATATATGAATAACTAATATAACAAATTCAAAGAATCTAATTATGATTTGTATAAACTGATAAAGAGTCAAATTAGGTGGACCAGGACAACTTACACCATGACCACGATAATTTAAGGGAAGACAGCTTTGAAAGACTGCAAACTCTGAGTAGTGTAACAACCAATTTTGTCCTTAGAACATTGATGATGAAACCTGTCATTTGTCTCTTGTCAAAGAGGTAAGTCACTTACTAGAGACTGAAGCACAATGAATGAATGAAACACAATTTCAGATATAGTCGTTGTGTTGACAACATTTGTTACATAGGAAAACTTCTACTTTATGGGAGACAGGAAAGGGGAATGAATAAGTAGTGATAGAGATTTTTTTAAAGAAAGAAAATAGCATCAATAGAACATTTTTTAAAACAGAAGAGAACAAAAACTTCAGAAAGGGACACAAATAGGGTAATTTTGTTACTAGTGTGTTAAATTTATTAGACAGTTTTTTTCAACAAACTGTGTATATCAGAAATCATCACCATTAACAATCATTTATTAAGCACTTCCTATGTGCCAGGCACATAAATTCATGATTTCATATACAATTTTTTTTTTGCATACTGAAATCTTCATGCTTACTGATAATTAATTTCATAACTTTTTTTTAAATGAGAGGCAAAACAGTAACCTGAGATTTTAGATTTAAGGCCTGAAAGGACTTCAGAGGCACAGGTCCAACCCCCTCATTTTATAAATGAGTAAACTGAGGCCTACAGGGATTAAGTGATTAGACCAAGACTACTCAGGTATGAAAGTGGCAGAGTTGGGATTCAAGCCCAAATCCTCTGACTCTCTTTAATAAATTCTAATCTACTGAGCCAACTGGTCGGTTTGAGTGGCCTTTCTTCACTTGGGATGTTGACTAACTCTATGGCTTCGCTTGCATGATTACATTTGTGGAATTTGAAGATGAAGTATTACTCCTATGAATAATATTGGAATCAAAGGATTTAGAACTAGAAAGGCCCTTCGAGAGATACTCTAGCAGCATCAGGAAAAACTACAATAAACCAGTAGAAATTAGAGAGAAGCAGATTTTGGCCCATTTTTTAAAAGCAGCTTCTTAACAATTAAAGCTAAGCAGAAATGAAAGCGTTGGAAATGCTCAAGTGGAAGCCAGTAATATCCAGCTGCTCTTTGGAAATGAAGTAAAACAGATTCATGATTCAGATGGGAGGCTGAACTAGATAATCTCTGAGGTCTTTTTCAGCTCTATAATTGTTTGATTCTGGAATCCCATCAGTCATTAGGGTTTGGAATCTTGTTATTTGTGCCTCTGGGACCCAACACTCACCACTCAAAAGCAAACATCACCAAACCCTGGAAATATTGGTTGAAATAGCTAACCTCAGAAGAGAAAGCAGGTTGTTATTTATTTACTTTTAGTAGAAATAAGTAACTTTTATTTTCCTCAGTCATCTGAACCACTTTTTGTAATCAAGTACAATAGAAATACAGAAAGAATATCACCCTCATTTTCTTTCTTCTTTTTTTCTCTTTCTTTCTTTCCTATTTCAGTGAAGTAGATGGAAAGGAGAAAAAGATTTAAAGAGAACCTTTATTCTATTTACGTTCTTTGCTTTTTCCTCACTCAGACTTCCCACTGACCCTGTTCCTCACTGTTTCATTTTGAAAAATTCCACAACCAAACTTTACGAAATTACCTACTTGATGCCATGACTTTTGTAGCCCTAGCTCCTGCTTCTACAAATGCCATTTAATAACCACTCCTTAATGTCATTTGGAGGGACCTAAATTCTTACTTTTTTAATGTTTTCTTTTCAGATATATTTTTTTTCAGCATTGTCCCAGCACAGCCTGTAAGCATTTTTTTTCATCATAGTATGATCTCTAAAAAGCCTGGCTTCATTTTTTTAATTAGAGTTTCAAGTATAGAAGATATCTCAATTTAACTCACTCCCCTTCACAAAACAAAGAAATTTTGCACCATCCTACAACGCCTAACAATTTATCAGAAAGAATAATGCTGTTTTACTTTTGTACAGGAAATGGAAAATAAAACCTCACCAAATGCATACAGCTCTTGGAAATAGCTTTCAAAGGGGCAGGGCTAAAGATTGATCTGGTTACTTGTCAATTGCATTATGTAGATGTGACATCAGCAGTAGGCTAGCTGCATCTAACCTTGGCTCACAGCCCACCCTTCCAATAAGGTTTATATAAGTAAAGAGCTTACTCTGTAAAGATATGATCATCTCTAGGGCTGAAATCTGAGCTCTAAAACCTAATTAAGCAGTTTTCCACCAACCTAGTTAACGAGTACTGAACCAAATGCCACAGAGACACCCAGATAAATGCTGATTGAAACAATAATTCACGGCCAAAAGTGGCCAGTGTATCATTTCAGAGACAAACTGATTGAGTCTTTTTTCTCTTCTGTTCTCTTTATCATCCATTTGATGGATCAGCTGACTTATATTATCTCTAACTCCATTTCTGTAAGTTAAAGCTTTTGGCAATGGAATGCTTTTAGATTCTCGGAGACCATTTCACTCAGTTTCTTGAATTTAATTGACACTGTATGTCTTTACCTGGTGAGTTGTGCTCATTGAGAATCACAAGAGATGCTGGTGTGGGCCTTCTTTTCCTGATCTGTGAACAGAGACCAGACCAAGGTCAATGAAAAGCAGCTACTACCCCTGTTTATATAATCCAGATAACTTATAATTTCATGTGTAAGTCTTCCTGGCAAAAAAGGTTTGGCTCAAAATGTAATATCATCAGTCTCTAACAGCAGTTTCTTCCCCTGAGAAGTCACATGCCATAGCATATAATGTTGCTCTGAAGCATGGATCCTTAACCTGAGGTCTAAGTTTTTTTTAAAGCATTTTGACAACTGTATTTCAATATGATTATTAGTTTCCTTAATCCTTCGTATCTTATTTTATGCATTAAAAAACATCATTCTAAGAAGGGATCCATAGGTTTCATAAGAAAGCCACAGGAGTCTGTGATAACACTCTAAAAAAAAGAATACAAATCTTTGCTCTAGAATAAAAATGACAAATGCATCAAAAACTGCAACTGAAAATAAAATTCGAATATGGAAGTTATGACAGTTCAGTAATGACAAAGAGCTATCTTCTGTACATTCTAATGCTGAGAGGTAATCTACAGATCTACTATCCTTGCTTCTAAGAACTATGACTGAGCTTGTTAAAATCAGATGTCTACAGATCACTAGAGATAGTAGTTCTTTTCACTGGTGTTCCCAAGCTTCCCCTTCCTAACACTATACTTAACAGAAATGACTTCAAAAGGTTAGTTCTTCAGTGAATATAGACTACAATTAAGATTACCTGTATTTTTTTCATTGGTTTGGCAAATCAAGGGTTTCTGGGGATCCTTAAGGTAGAATTTTTTATATTTTTATTTTATTTATTGAATTTTCCCTTCCAATTAAATCTCTAGTTTATGCAGGTAAATTCTGTGTAGACATTTCAAAAGAATACGGATAGAAAGCTTAACCAATGATATCTGATCAGGCAGGATTCCTGTCAGATTCGACATAGATACAAATTCATGGGTGTGAAATATCTAGTCTGAGTGATCTACTCAAGATTTTTCAAGTCTAAGAGGAAACTTTGAGCTTGCTTAAATCACTTACAATATATGTTAATGCTCCTAAGCTTTGGGAAAGCAGTTTGGAGAAAATTCACTTTTAAATTTTTATAAGGAAATGGATTGAGTAGGAGATCCTGACTAGTTCTTTGCTTTTACCTCAGTCCTAATTATAGTTTTAAAATCATCCTTTAGCTGGGATATTTGCATCAGTAGAGTAAACAATACTGCCTATTAAAGGTGATATATAAACTTTGAATGATGTAGATGTCAGTGAATTCTATGCACACACTCACTTGGTTTCTTTATATTGGTATGTTTGCCTATATTGAAATACATAAGCACTGAAAAGAAAAAAAGAAAAAGATGGTGAGATTTAAAATATTTTCTTTAAATTACTGAGCAGATCAGTAATTATATTTACATTGACTCAATTTACTATTATATCACTCATATACATACTTGATTGATGTTTATCTTTGTTAATCACAAATTAAAATGTGATACATGCATGTAAGTAACAAATATTGTGTTTTTCTGGCAATGTGTTCTGTATTAAAAATCTTCAGTGTTCTAAAAATCATTGTTACTAATCTTTAATTCAGAGATTTAAAAAAAATATTGTGCCTTAAGTGTTGCGCCTGTTCCATCACTAAGCACGCACAGAAACACACACATATAACACAAATATTTGGGTTTCAATTAAGTGACAAGTCTATTTTCTAAAGTGCAGTTCTATTTTTATAACAAATGAAGTATTCTGTTTTAATCTCTGTTTCTCCCCCTGTGCAATCTAAATCTGAAAAGATTTAGAAACCTGTGTGTTTCTGGTGCCCAGATCCTGAAAGTCACAAAGGCAAGAAGGCACTTGACAAGTAGCTGTGCATGTTATTTTTAAGGAGAAGGCATGCCTATTAGCAATTTTAGCAAGGCGCCCCCATCCCTCTATCCCCAGTTATTGCCCCCCTTCCCTTACCTGCTCAGCTGCTTCAGGTGCTATCTGACTCTGAAATAAGGGCACAGCAAACTGGATCTTTTTGGGACTGTTGGGCTCCATAACAGCGATGGGGGTGATCAGAAGTGCAAAGAATTCTGGAGGGCTTAAATAGAGTGATGTCAGGGATCCTGACTTTCCTTAGGCACAGCACCCTCTCCAAGCCACACAGACAGCTTCTTAATAAACAGCTGTGATTCCAGAGTAAGCAAGTGAAGCCGGGCTGAGTAACTCCTTTCTTCAATATTCACAGCGATGACTCGCTTGCCTCCCCTTACCCGCACCTCCCCAATCTCTTAGATCCTCTCAGCACAATGCTGAAAGGAACAATAAGCTAATTGTGTGCCTGTTCACTAATACACATGCCAAGCATTCACTCAGCAGCTCATTGAAAATGCAATACTAGCCCTGAATGGCCTGCTGCCCTGGGATTTGAAAAAGATCTATCCAGTGTACATTACTAACCGGCTGCTCAGATGTGCAATGTAAGCTCCCTCTGAGTATTGCAGTGATGAGCCATTCATTATTGATGATCCCAAACCAGGAAATTTTCAGAGATGAGGGCAGGGGTTGGGTCTGCAATCATTTTACTTCTCCTGTAGCAACTCCAAAGTCAGACAACTTCACTTTTTTTTTTTCTGCAGCCCACCACCCACATAGACAAATAATTATAGAGGCTAAGCCACAGCAAATAATCTTTACAGTCTTTTGGTTCCAGGTACACTGTTAACTAAGAATGAATGAGGAGGCAATGTGGAGGAGGTAACAATTCACTGAAAGAAGAGTCAAAAGACCTGGCTTCTGGCTCCAGTGCTGTTTCCCAAAAAAGCTTTGGAGCCTTAGGCAATTCATTTCTAGGGATCCCCGAACCTTAGAGATGCACGATTTCCAAATTCCTCATTTTGCAGATAAGGAAACAGCCCCAGAGATCTGAGCCTCCTTTTTTTCAATCTGTCAAACAAGGGGCTATTACCAGCTGATCTCTCTAAAGTCCCTTCCCACTCAACATCCTCTGATTGGAAATCACATTGCATCTCATAGTGGGAGGAGGGATTCCAGCAGAAACAAGGTGTTTTCTGGTTCAAGTGTAAAGGAATGGGTAAGCTGTGAAACCATTGGCAAAAATTAGTGGATGCCTAGGGCATGTTGGCACCAAGAGGAAAAGAGAGAACTAAAAGACAAACAATAGAGAGAAGGCACAAAAAGAGGTCCTGTCCAGAACAATGATCCGCAAATTCTAGACGTGGGAAAAGAAAATGAAATTTTATCAAGAAATGAAAAGTCTTCCGCCTCTTGATCTGGAAAAGTATTGTTTGATGTCAATTCAGGAATGCTCGATCTCTGTTGGGATATACACACAGAACATCACCATGAAGTCTCTTTGTGTGCTGCTGGAACACAAGACATTCAAACTATGATGGGGGGCTGAGGGGAGGGGAAGTTGTATGTGTATCTGTTTTACTTTGATCTCAGACCAGCAATCCATCCCATCTATTTCAATATGTGCTGTTCTGTTTTAAGAATATGGAAAACAACATGCATTATTGAAAGTTTTCAATGCCCATGAGGCAAAAGTAGATAGGTATTTGAAAGCACTATCTGTAGAGAGTAGTGCTGACCAGCAAGGAATCATCTAAGGCCTTTCAGTAAGTCTTCTTGTGCCCCAGACCAGGACCAGGGCCTGTCCTCCTCTACTCTTGGAAGAAGGAATCCAGAAAACATCTGAGCTACGTGCCAACACGACATGCATGCTTTTCCACTTGCCTCTGTGCCTTAACTTTCCCCTTTAGAATGTAAGCACCTTTAGGGTAGGGACTGTTTTTCTTTTTGCTTATGTTTCTATCTCTAGCATTTTCCACAGTGCCTGGTACATAGTATGGACACCTAAGTGATGCAGTGGATAGAGTGCTGGACCTGGAGTCAGGAAGATTTGTTATCATGAGTTCAAATCTAGCCTCAGACACTTACTAGCTGTGTGACCCTGGGCAAGTCACTTAACCTTGTTAGCCTCAGTTTCCTCATCTGTAAAATGAGTTTGAGAAGAAGTGGCAAAATACTCTGTTATTTTTGCCAAGAAAACTTCCAAATAGGGGTCATAAGGAAATGGACACAACTAAAAAATGACTGAACAATGACTGGTACATAGTAAGCACTTAATAAATGCTTGTTGCCCTATCTGCCAATGCATTCATTGACTCCTATTGAGCTTGCCTTCCGTGAAAACTTCCAAATCTTTTCCAGAAAATTCCTGCCAAATCATTCCTCCATTGCATGATGCTGTTACTTTTTAGTTTTTTGAAAATTTACTTTTTGGAAAACATGTAGGAATTTTACATTTATTCCTATTGAATTTCATGTCATTAAATTCAACCTAGTGTTCTAGATTATAGAGATCTTTTGGATCCAGTTGGTTAGCTATCTCTTCAAGTTTTTTATTATCTACAAATTTGATTAGAGTGCTTTCTATACCCTTACCTGAATCATTAATAAAGATTTGTAATAACAAAGAGTCAGAGTTAGATCCCTGGAGACCAGGGCTCAGTTTAGGCCCAAGTCAAGTGCAGCCACAGCCTCCTGGAAGACCCAGCACCCAGACTGCAGACCCGGCCAATACATAAAGAAGCTATTTATAACTCTGTTATATATCAGTCCCTGCCCTCAAAGCAGTTATATTCCAATGGGAGCAGACTCCACACAGCAAAGGAGGCTGAAAGATGGGGAAAACAGGAAGACTGCTAGAGCATGCTGGGGAGCAGATCTTCCAGGGTGAGGAAACTGCTGGGAAATACTTTGGGGCTGGGGGAGGGGGAGTCCAAAGAGTCAGGAGTGGGGCCTTGAAAGTAATGAAGAAGTGAATATTAAAATGGAGGTGTCTGGAGGAGAAAAAATATAAGTACTTTTGATAGCAGAAAACAAAGAACAGATACCAGAGTCTCATGCTATGAATTAAGAAGTATTATTAGACTGATTATAAACATTCATTTTTGTTTATTAAAAAAATTTTGAGTATAAAAGAATGGCTTCAACCCCCAAGTATTTTGTGAATTACTTACTATCTATACATTTGTTCATTGTTGGTGATGTCAATTTTCACTAGAAAATGTCACTTTAAATTTAAGGCGTGATATATTATTTCATCTACCATCCATTCAGTTCTTCTGTTTATTATGACATGTTCAAACATTAACAGGTAGTTGTTCTTTATTACTAAATTCAATAGCTTTATTCTATTAGTAACTCATGACATATTTGACCCTGGACAAGAGGTAGCATAATTTATCTTTTCCAATAAGAAACCATTCTATTATAAGTTAACTTGTACTTTTACTACTCAGTTCTATTTTAGATCTTCATCTCTTCCCACCTAGAATATTGTAATAACCTCTTAACTGATCTTTCTGCCTCTAGTCTACTCCATCTTCAATTAATCTTCTAATCTTGAGCATAAAAGATTTCAAAATGCATCACTATAATCACATCTCCCCTCCACTCAGCAGCTTTCAATGGTAAAGATGGGAGTCAGCTACGAACTAAATTATGAATTCCTGTTCCTAGCATTCAAAGCCCTATATAACCTGGCTCCAACTGATCTTTCCAGTCTTATATCATGCCACTCCCTTTCGTATAGGTGGTATAATGGATAGAGTGACATATCTGGAGTCAAGAAGACTCATCTTCCTGAGTTCAAATCCAGCCTCAGACACTAGCTAGAGAAGGAAATGTAAACTATTTATTCCAGTGTCTTTACCAAGAAAACCCTAAATAGGGTCATGAAGAGTCAAGACAGGACTGAAAAAATGACTGAAAAACACATTCCTAAGAAACTTGCCTAAAGATCCAGCTTTGTCTTGTAATTGCCTTTACTCAGGTAATCTCAGGTCATTTGAGTCTCAACTCTTATTTTAGTCTGTATGTCCACCTTGGTACGGTCCAACTTTGTTACCTCACCCACCACCCACTTAACTCAGATGTAAATTCATTTGTAACCTCACTCACCAGCCACTCAACCCAAATTCTAGTTGGTTCAACCAAAGCTGCTACATTCTACTCCCATTGTCTGTAGCCTAATCCTATTATCTGAGGACTATTCCCAAGTAGGATCTGAGGTGGCTTTCATCCTACCTCCTCATTAAAATGTCAGCCAATTGGGATTATTTTACCTTTGAAGTTGTGGAGTTGCTTCAGTTTGAATGATTGTGACCCCATTTGGGGTTTTCTTGGCAAAGATATTGGAATGGTTTGCCATTTCCTTCTCCACCTCATTTTACAGATGAGGAAACTGAGGCATACAAGGTGAAGTGATTTGCCCAAGGTCACACAGCCAGTTAAGTATCTGAGGCCAGATCTGAACTCAGGTCTTCCTGACTCCAGGGCCAGAGCTCTATCCATTATGCCATCTAGCTGCCCCTTACCTTTGCCAGAGGAGGGCAAAATGATGTACTGTCAGGCCAGGCAGAAGGAAGACACATCTAGGATTTAAAAGATTCTGGCAGCCTCAGACCCTCAGAGTCTTTGGTCAATGAGAGAGACCACTGACCCAATTTACTGGTTACTGTTAGCCTAACTAATAAATTGGTCATTCTCAGAACCTTGTCACTCAGTTTACCTTAATTTTCAAATATAACAATGCCATATGGATCTTTCACAGAATCAAGCACTTAACACCAGGTTTGTGCTTCTGTGTTGTTCTCTTCAAAGACTTTAAAAGAAGCAGCTGAGGTTTGTTAGGCAACAGCTGCCCAGGTTCACAACTGAGGTGGATAGGAATGTTGTGACCAGTGAGTGTTGTGCCCAGCAAACCAGATTGTGTGAGATGATCTCTCGTGCCTGTCAAGAGAATTCCCTCTTTGAGTTGGAGAGGAGACAGCTGCCCTTAATTGTCCCAATCCTCTGGAGTTGGTGGTTCACTTCTTCCCTGTGAACAGGAATTAATGAAAGAAATTGCTGGTTCCTGCAGTAGATAGTTTTTCCTAGTCAGCACACACACCCACAGTGGGTCACTTTTCCACCTACAATTTCTGTCCATTCCTGACTCCTCACTCTCACCCCCCATGGCCAATCTTTTGCCAAGGCCTGATGATTTTACCTTCATAGTATCACTCATAAAGGTCCCTTCTCTCTTCTGACACTGTCATCACTCAGGTTCAGGCCCTCATCTCCTCACAACTACACAACTGTAATAGCATGTTGGTCTCCCTGACACAAGCATGTCCCCACTCCAGTCCATTCTCCACTCTGTTGCCAAAGAGATCTTTCTAAAGAGCAGGTCTAACCATGTTACCCTCCCTGCTCAATAAATTCCAGTGGCTCCATATTGCCTCCAGGATCAAATACAAAATCTTCTGTTGGGCATTCATAATCCACCACACATACATTTTTTAGTCTTCTTACACCCCATACTACCCCCCATACCCTATTATATTCTGTGATCCATTCACACTGGCTTCCTTGATATTTCTAGCCCAAAACACTGCGTCTCCCAACTCAATGCATTCTCTATGTGGATTTGTTGTTGTTTAGTCATTTTTAGGAAAATCAAGCCCAAGTCCTTTGAATGATTTCAGGAGGCTCTATGATCTTCCAGGGAATGATTGCAATTAACACAAGAGTATCTGTGGGACCTCACCATCCACAGGAAATCCTTCTTTAACCTCCATTCTATACCGGATCTCCTCCAACACAGTGGCTAGTAACTGTTGAGCAGGTTATTTCAATTCTGCCTAATGTTTCTTATCAGAGGATCATAGAATGAAGTTATTTCTATTATTAC